AGGGCCGGATTCTGCTCTCGCCACAGCGCAAAGCCGGGCGACGCGTCTCTCCCCGGCCCAGCGGGCTCAGAGAGAGGCGGTGGCCAGAGCGGAGCCCTGCATGAGGGAATTCGCTCCCCTCTCGGTCCAAAACAGCCCGACTCAGCGACCGTGGCCCCTCATTTCACACTGTAGGGCCTGGGTGTGCGCAGGGGGCTGAGATCCCAGGCTGCCTCCTTGAGTCTGGAGACGCTGCTGATTTGCTGTTACTGGGTCATTAATAAAATGAGATGACGGGCCCCCAGAGCTCCGCAGAGGGGCTCCTCTCCGCTCTGTGTCAGCAGTGGTACTAACCCAATAAACAGACTCACTCCAGAGTGACCCTGGCAGGACTGAAAGCAGCAGCTGGCCCTCCGCCCCTCTCTCCGGGAGCTTGTCACTTCCCCGCCAAGTCACCCCCCCGGCCAGCCAGCCAGCCTCCCTCCAAGTGCCAGGAGCAGTAAAGGCCGGGGGGGAGGGGGAGATGGCAGAAACCACCTCGCACTGTGGGGTGCCCATCCCACCTCCAAGCCCGAATCGGGCTGATGGTACCTGTGCATGTTTAGAGGGACCAGTGGGGCGCACTGCGCACGGAGGCCAGCTTCTGCTGCTTCCTTAGGACTCGGGAGGACACCCCACGTCTCTGTGATCTGTGCAGATGGACTCTGTGCAATGCCAGACGGACTCCCGGGCCAAGTGCCCCCGGTGTAACAACGGCCCCAGTACAATGACATGGGGGTGGGGAGTGGATTTGCATCAACTCCATGTCTCCTGTGACAGCTCGACCCTAGCTCCTGCTCTCGCTCATTGACACTGGATCCCACCCATGGCCAATGCCGCCCGTTACTCCACCCCTGGAGCGAGCCGGTCTGCCAGGCCATCACCCCCCAGCCTTCATCCACACTCGCTTGCCCTAGCGGCTCCCCGTGGCTTTGTAGCTGCCCCGCTGCAGCCCGTCTGACTACAGGGCTGAAGCAGTGTCTCCTCATTCACACTCGGCGGCACGTGGCACATTTGGGGCACTGTCAAAGATGAGCTGGGGTCAGTCTGAATGAACTCCCCTGGCCTAGATGCAGTTACTCTGGATTGGCACCAGTGTAACTAAGACCAGACTTTGGCCCTTTGATGCCAGCTCAGCTCTTGGAAAAGACACCCTGGAGAGTGGGCAAAGCCCTCACAAACCTGCTGCAGGGGGCGGATCGGTTGTTTCACCCTCTGAAATGTCTCTGCCCCTGTGAACTGACGATCAAGCGAGTCCCACAGTGGTTTGGCATGAGCAGGTTCCCCTGCCCAAAGCCAGGATCCTAGCCTGACATGATTCCCTTTTGAGGAGTTTGCGGCCATACGGCGGTCTCCTCTGGTCGGAGGTTCACACCTGTACTTGGACAATTCAGTCCTTCGTTGAGAGGGCTCCCAGGTTCCTTGTTCTCGCTGAGGTCTTGCATAGCAGCATCTGTGAGTCAGGCCTCTGCTAGGCTAGGACACTCCATCCCATCCTGGGACAGAAAGACCTGGCCTCGGTTGCATACACCTGCCCCGCCTCGGTGCTGGATGACAGCAATGCGATACACCTGGGCATGCAGCCAGCCGCCCTTAGGAAACGCCAGCTTGTCCTCAGAGCTGCAGCTCAGCTCAGGAACACAGGTGCTGCAAGGACATCAGAGCAGGCCACTCCCTAGAATAGCGAGTCAAGTTCAAGGCCTCAGTCCTTAACTTCATGGTGCCCAATGGCCGGGGCCCAGGATGTCTAACGGAGCCAATGAAGAGTGGGGTCGACAACTCCCCACCATCAGGGGACATTTGTCCAGGGGACAGAGCTTCCTTGGGGGCTGGCCCCCGGCTGTGGAATGAACTCCCTCAGGAACTAAGGTGCATCACAAACCTCCCTGCTGCCTGCCCCAAGGACCAGGGGCATGCTGAAGACGGTGCAACATCACTTAGTCTCACTGCTGAACTTGGGTGATGTGGGGTGAAAATCCCACTGGGCACGGGGCCAGCACCCCACAAGTCCTTCCTGCGCCCCAAAGGCGACAGAGGCGAGGCCAAGTGAGCGTATGGCATGTACATTACCGACAGTTGGCCGTCCCCGCTCACACCCGCTAACTGATGTGTAACTCACAATGCCAGAGAGCCGCACTGGTGCTGGATGGCCTACGCGTCGCCTGTCCCCCACAAGCAATGCCTGGCTCAGTCCTGGCAAACTCACAGCAGCAAATACATTGCCTCCACAGAGGATAGCATGGGAGGTCTCCACTGAAAGTGTGTGACTTATCAATGTTCATGATCACAGTGTGATGTGTGTACGGGTAATCATTAAGAATAAGGTCACTGTACTGAATTTTATGCCCATACAGTCTGAAGGTTAAAAGGAGTCCCCAGGCAGTGATATCACTTGGTGATGGTCTAGTCATGCGGGATGGGGTTGCCGGTGACGTAACGTACAGCTCAGTTGTCTACCCTGGCCCCATCCCCGAACAGCCAATGGAAAACCATCAAAGCCAACATCAAAGGCGCGAAAGCACTTGGAGGTGAAAAGGAAACGTTGCACCCGACAGAGGGCCCTTTGTGTGTGAATAGGGACGAAAGCCTGTTTCAGTAACACACCGAGTGGGGAGAGGTCCTCTGCCCCCATTCATGGAGGAGGCAGCTCGCTGAGCGGGGCTGTTCAATGACCATTTGGATCCTGGTTCCCATGAGGCCAGCCAGCTCTGCAACAGCCTGAACGTTGTGGGGAAACCTTTACGAGCTAGGAAAGGGAACTATGGATAAGTGTAGGGCCTAGTTCGCGGTGGGCGATTTTGTTTTGCATTGTAGCCGTTTGTTTCCATCACTCTCTCTTGTTTCGAGTGGAATCTCCTTAAATAACCCTTTGCTGGTTTCATTACCAGTGTTGAGTGTCCCACAGGAGCTGTGGGCTAAGGTAAAACTGGGGCACGCTGCTCCCCTAGGGGCAGAGGATCTGGGATTTCGGTGATTAGCTGGTGTCAGGGGCTGGGTAGCACAGGGGAGGGATTCAAGGGGATTTGGGGAGTAGGGTCACCCCTTGCTGGCAGGGCTGGGCTGGCCTAGCCCAGAGGAGATTGCTTGAGTGGCTGAAAGGCAGGCGGGGTTAGAGGAGCTATCACAAGAGAGATGCCCTCAGGCTGGAGGCAGTTGGGGGAACAGGGTGACTCAGTCCTGGGTACCCCGAGCTCCGTCACACTCCCCACTCCACACGCGCCCCATCTCCAAGTGGGTAACAGAGGCTGGATGCTGCCGGGGACACCCATCCTGAGGCGGAGAAGGCTGCGAACCTCTGGCAGGAGACGTCTGGTGAAACCAGCTTAACAACCAACCTACCACTGGGAGCCTGGCCCAGTGAGGGCCCCCCCTCCCTCCCTGCAATTCTGGAGCAATGCCCGGGCTGGGGAAGACGAGGCTGCCTGCCCAGCACAGAGGAGCTGGAAAGCGGAGTGCGATTCCAGTGCCCGAGGTGCCTCCTCCCTGCCAGCCCCGCCTGCCTGTGCACACGCCCGCCAGCCACTGCAGATAAAGGCAGCTGTTCACTATCGAGACACAGGGCATGTGGGGAGGGAAGGGGGCTGGCAGCAGTTCTGGGGGGGGGTGGGGTGAGGCAGGAGGTTCATGCCACAGGCTGGATCCTACACCTGCTGAAGTTAATGGGAATTCTCCCTCTGGCTTCCAGGGGCCTCGGATCAGGCCCTGCCTGGGCTGGGGCCGTCTGGTGCCTGCAGGCAAAGGGCAAGGCGCGCCCAGCTCCTGCAACCACAAAGCTAAGCCCAGATCCCCCAGCGGCTGCAGGCTGCCCTAGCTGGGCTGCTGTCAGCTGACGCCAGCTGCGGGTCTGGCCCCAAGCCCTTGGCTCCCTAGCGATTACTCTGGTCTCTGTAGCGTTGGCTGCGTGGAACTCGCTGTACCCAGCTCCAGGGATCTGGGTGTGAGGCCCAGTGGGACCCTCCTGCGTGTGTAAGAACAGCCTCTCCAGCTAGCTTCCCTTCCTGCGCAGGGCGACGCCGGGGGGTGGGAGCTTTGCCACCCTCCGGCCCACGGGACACGTGTTGGGCTAATGGGCAGCCAGGTTCTGGTTGGCTCCCGTGCCGTTCCTACGGAGCACGGCTCGCTGGGGCCCGCAGCGTCCCAGGTGTTGCCGGCCCACTGCTTCAGGGTGGCGCTCAGGCCTGCGGAACGGGCCCAACTCATCACAGGACTGGTGGAGCGGCACCTGCTGCCGCGAGATCCTCAGCCCACCTCCAGCGCTGCTGCCACAGCCCACGCCAGGCAGGCCCCCCCGTAAGCTGAGCCCTGCGGGGAGGGAAATGAAACCCAGAACTGGGAACAGAACCGTTGTGATGAACGGGTGGAAACTGCAGCACGCTCCCCGCAATGACTCAGCCCAGGGCACTGGCGACTGGGCTGCTCCTGGCCTGCCACGGCTGCCCCCGTCTCTGCCCTACGTGATCAACGGAGCCACCCCCCCCCCCCGTTGGTGCTCCAGAGCCCCCCCTGGTCCCCCTCAGCCAGAGAGGAGTGGCAGATACGTGACTCAAGCCAATCTCTCTGGCCACCTGGTGCCACCCCGCCCCTGCCTCTGGGGCTGGATGAGCTGCCTATGCAGCTCCTCAGAGCCGGGAGTGAGACACGAGGTGTGCCAGGCAGAGCAGTGCCACGCACTAGCTGCCAGGGACCCGGGGGGGCTGAATTTTGCCCTGCCTGCACTGCAGCTGCTTGAATAATTGACGTAACAAATGTCGAGCTGATTTTCCCATCACGCGCCCAGCTCCATGCCTCGCCCTCTAGCATCGTCCTCCCAAAGGCACCCCCAGCCAGGGCTCGCATGCACAAGGGCGGGGTGGTGGTGGGGTGGTCTAGGCAGGCAGAAGCTGGGCAGGGCACCAGCAGAGGGGAGCTGCCCCTGCAGGCCAGCACCAAAATGCCCATCATTCTGAGGTCTTAGCCGCTGAGACGTGGACTGAATGCTTGGGGATAGAAACTTTATTCATCAGTTTGTCCAGGGTTTTCTCTTGGGGAACCTTTGTACCTGGAATACAAGGAGCTGCCATCAGGGGTCCCTTTAAATTTCAGACACTGAAAGGAGCGCGGCCGTGGGCGAGACCACTCTGCTGCTGATGTGTATTTGGGATTTCCAGTGCGCACCTCCTCCACCATCCGCCATCGCTGGCCACTCAGCCATGCCTGGGACTGGAGAGAAGAAAGCGGAACAATGAGTCCCAGCGAGGAGCAGCTCCCGCTTGTCCCCTGGAGAAGCCACGGCCATCAGCAAAAGAAAGCGGCTCCTGCTGTCAGAGCAGGGCTGGATTCTAGTCCCCTCTCTGCCACCCGTCCCCTGCATGGTCTTCGACAAGTCCTTTAGGGCCTGGTTTTCCTGAGAGCTCAGGGCCAGGTTTGCAAGGGCTCAGTGCCCAGCGGGCTGAGCTCATTTGAAAATCTGGCCCCATTTCGATGCTGAAATGGGAGCTGCGCACTTTTGAAAAGCCTGCTTCCCAGCTCTGCTGAGCACCTGACCAGGGCAGTGGCCGTTCAGCCACTCGGTGCCCATCTGTGGCACTCCCTGCACCCCCTCCTCAGGGGAGGGGGCAGCTCAGTTAACGTTCATCACAGAGCCTTTAACCAACAGGCAGAACTGGCAAAAAGAAAAGGAGGACTTATGGCACCTTAGAGACTAACCAATTTATTTGAGCATAAGCTTTCGTGAGCTACAGCTCACTTCATCGGAGGCAGAACTGGGAAATCACCGAGCCGGGAGCACAGGGCCTGGGACCCTACGGAGACCTGGCTGGAGCAGCTGCACTCAGGATCATTTACTAATCATTGATCAAAGCCATCATTACTGGGACTGTCGGGACGGTTTCATGCTAAGTCACCGTCTTTGTCACCCCTTTGCTTTGTATACAGATGCGTTCAGTGCTGAGGGGAGTTCTACGAAAGCCTGGTCATTAGCAGTGAGCTAAATATTCTGCAATAAAAAGCCATAAAAATCCACATTTTCCAGCAATTAACAAAAAACGCTGAATGCTTGTTTCCCTAGTCACAGGATGTACAGGTGTCAGTACAGCACCATGAATCACAGGGTTGGAAGGGACCTCAGGAGGTCATCTAGTCCCACCCCCTGCTCAGAGCAGGACCAAACCCCCATAGTTGCCCCAGATCCCTAAATGGCCCCCTCAAGGATTGAACTCACAACCCTGGGTTTAGCAGGCCAATGCTCAAACCACTGAGCTATCCCTCCCCCCGTAGCCATGGCTTATTGATATGCGGCAGAACCCTGTTTGTCCGAGCCTCCATTATCTGGCGCTCCGTATTACCTGAACCGGGGCTGACAGCCCAAGCCCCGGGTGGCAGGGCTCTGTCTGACAGCCCCAGGCAGGAGGGCACGGGCGGTCAGTCCTGGCTAGGTTAATATGAAGAGCCGGATAATGGAGGCTTGGATAAACGGAGTCCTACTGCATGGTATTATTTTTTAACAAAACGTAAAAGCTAAAGATTCTCTGTAAAAACACAAATTCCGTGTTTTTCCGCAGCAAATGGCTTTCACATAGAAGGTCTGCAAACAGGACATTCCACCCAGTAATGTATAAAACCAAGATCAATCTGCTAAACGCATCTTGGTGTTTTGCTGTCTTTAAATGCTTTCAGAGTGACGTCAGTTTAACAATCACCTTTCTGCCTGCACATTTTCCTCCCGTCACGGTTACCAAAAGCCCCTAAAGGTGACCAGAATTTGTCTATTTTCTTTATACGTCAGTTTCACCACTTCCCCTTTATAGCTTATTTAGTCAGATTTCCTTTTCTCTGCTGATTGTGTGAGTCCTTCACACAGCAAAGGGGGAGCAGAAACATTTAAAAATAGTTAACTGTGATTGTAAACCTCTCAAAAATAGCAGGAAATGTAGGTGGGTGGGCTGAGGATCTGAATTAATTTAGAATAAAAAATCCATCCTTACTAAGGGGGACTTCAAACCAGTGCAAATCTCCAATGTGTGTTCATGTCTTTTCTACTGTCATTAGAGTCCGGTCGGTCTTGATTAACTTTTTGTATTACTACGGTCCAAATCAGATGGTGATTTATAACATATTTGTTAAAGTAGATAGTTTTAATTTAATAAACACTGAACATTTGCTGGCAAAAAAAAAAAAAATTCTAAACCTGTTCTTGTTAAAATAGATTTCAGTTTTTCATTGGGTGAATTTTTCTGGCCTGTGCTATGCAGGACATCACATTAGATGGGCACAATTGTCCCTTCTGGCGTCTCAATCTGTGAGTTGGAGCTGGTAGAAGAAAACAGCAAACAGTTCTGTGAAGATCGTCCAATTCTTTGAAAGGGTTTTCAGTACATTTCGAAGTGTGGGACAAAGTGTTTCCCAGGATGGAACTGCGTCGGCCAGCGCTAGCGGCAGGGGAGATGCTCCAAGCATTGCTCTGACCGTTTGTATTGACATTTTGCATTGGGTTGCTGAAATGCCAACAATTGCAGCAAGAAATCAAAACGAGGAAAATGCCAACCAGGCCGGCCTTGAACGGGGCTGACGAACCTTCCTCCAAGGCTCATGACAGCTACTCACATGTCCCCAGTGGAAAAGAGACACAGCGATGTCTGCGACATGCCTGGTGAGTCTTTTCCTTTAAACACGAAAGCCTCAGCCTCTGTGTCGTTGGCTGGGACTTTTCCCATCTTTGTCTCAACCTCCCACCAGCCTTATTGCCCGCTGAAGTGCCGAATGGCAAAGGAAAAGCCTCAGGGCTACAAAAGGTGAGTCAGTGTGCCCTAGGGGATAGACCATTGGACTGGGAGACATAGGCTCTATTTCTAGCTCTGCCATTGGCCTTTGATACATCACTTCCCCTCTCCGTGCCTCAGTTTCCCTGCTGTACCATGGGGATGAAGATACTGCCCTCCTTTGTAAAGTGCGCGGAGAGCTGCTGGTGGAAAGCACTAGAGAAAAGCTAGGTTTCATTCCCATTGTGAACCGGCTACCCCTGGAGCATTGCATGGGTTGTAAGTTCTTTGGGACAGGGACCATTCTGGCCCACACTGAAGTCAATGGGAGTTTTGATTTCAGGGGGCGGGGGCAAGATTTTACCCCTGGACTTTGTGCATGTGTGTGAAGCCCCAGAGCTAAGCCCGGAGGAAAGCAGGGCTCTGGGGTGCCGCGCAGGGTGAGAAGCGGGAGGTTCTGTTCACCTCTCATCGCCGTGTTCGCCTTCCTCTCTGGGCTTGCCGGGCACCAGGTCCTCTTGGCGTCAGCCTGTGGAGAGATGCACTGAGCCATCAACCACGAGGTGCAAACAGAAAGGGACACCCGCCCCCTGCACTGGTGTTGGCATCTCCCCCATACCCCCCCACCCCCGCGGCTTCAACAGGTGCTAAGGGCAGCCGCACCTCTCAGGAGACCACCCATGCTGCTGATGCTTCCAGGCATTCCTGGGTCTATGGTGCCAGCCTGAGGGCAGGGAGCCGGGAATGCGAGGGTGTTCCATGGTGCTGGGCTCAGGGCCTGGAGCCAGGCCTCCCTCACTCCGGCCAGGGAAAGGGGTGCAGGTTCCAGTAAAGAGAGGTCTATGCAGCTGGTCTTGTGACTGCCTCCAGCGGCCACTGGTAACCCTGGCTGAGCCCTCCCCTCCGGGGCAGGCTGCTCTTAAGACCTGGCTCCCACAGGGACCCTGCCCTGCAAGAGGCTTTCCACGGCCGAGAACAAGTAGCCACACACCTTGGCTGCTCTCCCCTGGCCAGGCACGTCCTGGGGGCAGTGGTGGGATGAGAGTCCAGCAGATGCTGTGTTCAGACGTGACATCTGGGGAAGGAGCCGGGCCACAGATGCCTTCCTGCTTCTGCAGGTCGCTGCCTTTGGTTTGGCGGCTCGAACCATGTACCTGGAGGGGCAGAAGGCAGCTGCTACCATGCCCCGCTGGGTCACAGCAAGCCAGCTCTGAAGGCAGAGCCCCAGTTGATGCAGACAGAACCAGGGATGGCTCTGATCCAAGACCCACGATAGTGGAACCCCAGCTGTTCTGGGAATGGTGGTGAATTGGCCCCTGCATGAGTGCTGAGTCCAGAGCGCGGCTCTGGGGCAGCCCAGCCTGGGAGCCAGAGAGCCACAGTGTGTCCACAAAGGATCTCCTTTTCAGCCAGTGCAGCTGAGTCCTGCCTCGTCTCTGCCAGGCAGCAGGGTACAGGCGAGTGTGTGATTCCCAGAAAGGCCAGCGGGGAGGCCACCTTTTCTTGCAGAAATCCCCCCTTGGAGAGTCACCAGTAACACTCTGCTCAGTACCGCATGGTGGGGGATGGATCACTGGGAAAGCCCCTCAGCAAACAGCGTGGCTCCTGTCCAGGGACTTTTCCTGGGAAGTGTGCACACGGCCACCTTGATCACTCGTACGCCCCACACCCTCCCACCACCCCGGGTTGGTGCTTGTCTGCTGAGATTGGAAGCTCTTCGGGACAGGGATCAATGCCTCATATACGTTTATACAGCGCCTAGCACAACGGGGCCCCGATCTTGCCTGGGGCCCCCGGGCGCTAATGCAAGAGAATATGTACAAGATTCCAGGGAGGAGGCACTGGTGGTTGATTACTCAGCCCAGCCGCTGCAGTGCTTAGAGTGGGGGCCTCCAAAGGCTGGTCCATCCAGGGCTGCGATGCCCGTCCCCGCCCGGGCTGGGGTTCGGGATCGCAGCCGATCGCCTGCGTTCTCAGCACGCCCCGACACCCCCAGCTGGGAGCAGCCCAGCTGGTCCCCCAGCCATGGGATTGTGAAAGGAGGGGGGGGCTAATCAGGGGCCTTGCACTCACTTTGGTCCCTGTGGGGCACACAGGGCCGCGTACCAGTTCCTGGCCCATCCCAGGTCGAAGGGATTCGCTCTGCCCGCCTCGCGAAGCTGGGGACAGAAGAGACACAACGGCGGGAGCTGGGGACGGGGCTCTGGGACAGGAGGGACACAGCGTTGGCACCTGTACCCGCTCTAGTTTCAGAGGCAGGAACTGGCTAGAGAGTAACCAGCTGGGGCGGACGATGCTTCGCCGCCGGCACATGTGTCAGCGTGAGGAAGACGACCCCAGGGCCACGCCTCCGAGGCGCTAAATTGCAACGCTGCCTTGCAGCCATCAGCTGCATCCTGGCCGGATTGGTGCAGGGGCTGTGCCCTGAGCATGGCTGGCCTAGCCCCTCCTGAGGGCAAGCCTCCAGCCCTTGCACCCACCAGCGGCCCTGATGTCCCCCCCAGGCGCGGCCTGGAAGGGACCCAGCCTCACACACATGCGCCTTTGATGCAGGCCTGAGCAGGCAAGAATCCCAGTGATGGGAAAGGGGGTTGGGGGGGGAGTCCATGCAGCAGAGCTGCAGGATCAGGCCCCCTTGCATGCACATCCCATACGCACGCACATGTATCCATGCACACGTACACACGTATGCACACATATTGGTTTCTTGGACAGATTTCCCATGACTAAAGCCTGGAGCAGCTTTTACCCTCTGGTTCTACCACTGCCAGCTGCTGCTCACATGCCCTGAGCCCCAGGCTGGGCTCCCTCCTCCCCGTACCTTGAGCTCATAGGTGCGTTTAGCCAGAGTGATGAAACTGGCCTGGGATCCCACCAGGATCAGGAGGGGCAGCAGGTAGAGAGTGGCCGGGATGGTCACCATGATGCTGGCAGCAGGAGATTAAGGGAAGGATATAAAGCCAGGTCTGGACAGGATTGTGCTCCTGCTGAGGGGCGAGTCCTCGGCCTGCCCACTGAGTGTGGGACACAGCCTGTGTGTGTGTGTGCATGTGTGTGGCATCCTGGTGGACCACAAAGATCAGCCCCAGCCCCCTGGAGCTCCACAACTCTGGCCTGTGTGGGGTGAAGCTCAGTGTGTGTGCATAGTGCCGGCTGCATGCCCAGGGCTGGGTGCTCTGTGCCGGCTGCGTGCCCAAGGACCCGTGGCAGGGGGAAGCCCTGGCTCATCTCTCCAAGGATACGCACAGATCTTTTCGGCGCCGTAGGCCTGGTGGAAGTTGAGCACCAGGTAGGTGATGCATGAAGCCAGAATCACCACGTTGTAGCTGCACAGGAAGGCCACGAACAGGAAGAAGAAGCGGAAGTTGCGGCAGCCAATGCAGTTGTTCAGCCACTTACAGTGGTGGTCGAACTCCTGGGTGTGCAGGGAAAGTGCCCGACATCAGCGCTGCCCATGTCCCCGCTGGGCCACTGCACGGCCCCCCTCCAGGGGCAGCTGCAGCTGTTGGCCCAGTGCCGCGGTGAGCCAGCCTGTCCTATGGCTAGTGGGGAAGTGGGAACAGGCATGGGAGGACTCCCCAGGGCAGCGTACGTGGCTGTGAGTCTATGGAGCTGCAGATCTGTGTGTGCAGGTGGCTGTGTTTGTGTGGCGTGTGTATAGGGCTGTCTGCGTTTGTGTGGCGTGTGCAGAGGGGTGTCTGGGCGGGGTGCGGATCTGTGTGCAGAGGGTGTCTGGGCGGGGTGCGGATCTGTGTGTGCAGGGTGTCTGTGTTTGCGTGGCGTGTGCAGAGGGGTGTCTGTGTTTGTGTGGCGTGTGCAGAGGGGTGTCTGGGCAGGGTGTGGATCTGTGTGCAGAGGGGTGTCTGGGCGGGGTGCGGATCTGTGTGCAGAGGGGTGTCTGGGCGGGGTGTGGATCTGTGTGTGCAGGGTGTTGTGTTTGTGTGGCGTGTGCAGAGGGGTGTCTGGGCGGGGTGCGGATCTGTGTGCAGAGGGGTGTCTGGGCGGGTGCGGATCTGTGTGCAGAGGGGTGTCTGGGCGGGGTGTGGATCTGTGTGTGCAGGGTGTTGTGTTTGTGTGGCGTGTGCAGAGGGGTGTCTGGGCGGGGTGCGGATCTGTGTGCAGAGGGGTGTCTGGGCGGGGTGCGGATCTGTGTGCAGAGGGGTGTCTGGGCGGGGTGTGGATCTGTGTGTGCAGGGTGTTGTGGATCTGGGCGTGTGCAGAGGGGTGTTGGGTTTGTGTGGACTGTGTGCAGAGGGGTGTCTGGGCGGGGTGCGGATCTGTGTGCAGAGGGGTGTCTGGGCGGGGTGTGGATCTGTGTGTAGAGGGGTGTCTGGGTGGGCTCGCAGGCTCCCAGGCCAGGGTACCGAGCGCAGCCCCGCCAGCCTCACCTCCACGCAGACGTTGCAGCAGGGGCAGTGGAAGGTCCGTGGCGGGCAGTAGTAGTGACACTTCCGGCACCAGTGCAGGTCGAAGCGGCTCTCCTTGACCCGAAGCGCCCGGATCACTAACTCGGCCCGGCCCTCGGCCCCTGGCTCAGGGAGACACAGCGCGGAGTGAGACTGTTCTCCCAGCGACAGGGCCTGCCCCGATGTGCATCCAGCAAAGCACCGATGGGAGTGAGGAAGGTCGCAGATTATCCCCTGGACCCTCTGCCCAGCCGCAGGACCCAGCGCCCAGCCCTAAGGACGCAGCTGGACCCAGCTGTCTCAGTGGGAGGTGCTAGGCAGTCCTTGGAGAAGCCGGCTGTGGCCCATGTCCAGGCTGGGGGGCTGCCAGGAGATCTGTGGTGCTAGGAGGCGGGTAAAGTGGGGATGGTGGAGGGCAGGGGACAGTGGCTTGTAGTGGAAGGCCACGGAAATCCCACCAGCGCTGGCAGGGAGGCTCGGAGACCTCCCGCCTTGTAGCTGGTGTGTGGGGAGTTTGGAGGGTCTCAGCCTGGCTCCTAGGGGACACCCATGCCCGTCACACACCCACCACTGCCGGCACTGGCTGGGCACGGGCTGAGCCCTGGGCTGGGCCTAGTGGGGTGCTGGCACGGCCTCTGCCCAGGCTGCGTGGGCTCCTGTGGGCATATCTGCCTCTGGCGCCGCCCGGCTGGCCCCTTGCACCAGCACAGCCTCACTGGAAAACAAAGCCAGCTTGGGACAGAGCTGTTCCAGGCCTCCTGGCTCCCAGGGCCAGGGAAAGGCCGTGTTCGCAGGGAGGCTTGGTAACCAGATCCCCCCCTCCAGGCCAGGATGTGTCTAGACCCCTGGGCTGCAGGAGCAGAAACTGGCAGCTGCGCTGGGTGTGACTGGTCTGGCTGCGTGCCTGTGGCCCGCACCTGTACGCCTAGGGATGCTCTGTTCCGCTCAGCGCAGACCGCTGCAGTCACACGTGCTGTGCGCCTCTGCGGGGACTTTACTTTGGTTCTTTCTTGCTTCAGTTTTTCCCTCCCGCTCTTTCTGACTCATTGCCGGCAGCTAGGGTGCCAGCCCTGCCATGCTGCAGCGAGGCCCAGGACGGCCCTTAGTCTGTAGTGGGGAGGTGCTGCTCAAGCCAGGAGCAGACCACCCCACCCGTGTCGGAGCATTGCTCGGGGAACGTAGCTCTCGTCATTGAAGGGAACGACAGAATGTGCCTGTGCATCCTGCCCTCTGCTGGATGTAGAAGTCACTGCTCAACAGTGTGTCATAGACCCTATAGTGCTAACAGCTGCAGAAGAGTCTCCCCAGCGCCAGTGGCTGAGGCTGTGCTTTGAGGATCTGAGCTCGCGCCTCGTCACTAACACCTAGTTCCCAGGGGACAGGGATTTAATATGTTATTTTTGTCAAGCAGATTTGCTCATTGCTGGCTTCTGACCTCCGTCTGTGCAGCCGTGGCTGGGTAAGCGGCTCAACGGGGGGCACTGGGGGCCAGTCAGGTGCCCGTCCCTGTCCTGCCCATAGGCTAGGCTTCTGCAGGACCCAGGGAAACCCCAGGCTGTGACTTGAGGCATCCCAGCCTGGGAGCTGGAGTGCCAGGGAGAACGGCAGAGCCCTCAGGAGAAGGCCAGCCTTCACAGCAAAGACCATCTGTCCCTTCTCTGCCTACAGGGCCCAGCTGCCTGGCCCTCCCCTCGGGAGCCTGGGCCATGCTCCTGTTACCTCGGTGAAGGATCCCAGGGTCCGTGAAGCTGGCCAGCAGGAGGTTGGCCACGGCTGGGATGAAAAGGATGCCTGCGACCAGGGGGAAAGCCAGGGACACGTGGACGGCCAGCCAGCTGCATCTGAAACGGAAGGAGAGGGGAGGGTGGTAGCCCACAGCCAGCGAGCTCCGGGTGCAGCTCGGACGCTAAGCAGGGGGAGACCTGCTCAGTGCTTGGAGGGCAGAGAAAGGTGCCAGCAGGGGTGGGGTTGGGGGCTGCACCCTCAGGATCTGCCGGCACCCAGAGGAAGGGGAGATAGAGGCCACGTGGGGCCATTGCACATCCCTGACCCTCTTCCTAAGGCCAAAGAGGTTGCTAATGCTGGTGTCCTGGGCAGATTCCCTCCTGGGCCTGGGTTTGCGCTGGCCTGAGCCCGGGGCAGGCTCCTTCGCTGACCTGTCCGCTCCTGCTGGGGGGGAAATTCCCGGCCAGCCCACGAGCACTGAGGCTGGCAGCTCTTGGGGCTCTTCTGCTGGCCAGAGGCTGCCGTGGGCGAGTCTCCACTGCCCCAGGGTCCACGGACGTGTGCTCACGCCAGCCATGCAGACATTCCCGCTCGGCCCCTCCTGCCTGGGGGTGGGGCTGGGCTTTGAGCCCACGTCGCACCGACAAAACACGAGTACACGTCTGTGGAGCGGGGGGGGAGGAGTGCCCCCAGGTGCCGTGGAGTCGGACCCAGTGAAAATAACACGGGGGACGGGTCCCAGAGTTTTCTGACCCTCAGGGAAGGACTGATCTGGTTTCGGGTGCCAGGGTTCGTGTCCTCTCTGCTGCGGCCCATCCCTAGCAGGAGTGGACGGCCCTGCCCCAGCTGTCGGGATAGATGCCGTGGCGGAGTTAGGGGCTCAGTGCGTGTGTGGGAGAGACGGGCTTAGAGCAGCCCTGAGCTCTAATCCCGACTCCGGTGCTGACGCCGTCTGAGCTGGTCCCTGACCTCGCGCTGGTTCCACACCTCAGTTTCCCCGTCTGTAAAATGGGGCCAACCCGCCCAGCTGTGCAGGGGGCTCATTGGCGCTGGCTGGTGTACAAGGGCCTAGGTCCAGAGGCTGAGCGCTCTGCCTTTCAATGTTGACTCCTGGGGCATTTGCTCGCTGGCTACTCAGATCCATCTACAGCTGGCAGGGCCACCCCAGCATGGCTCTGAACCTGACGCAGACACCGTGCGAATGAAGAACTCTCCCCTACCTGGCTGGCTCCCCACAGGCCTTGGGCCTCTTGACACCCCAGGGGGCTCTGCCCCATAGCACAAGCTGCTCTGCCTGTCAGGGGGACGGGCTCAGGTGCTGGGGAGCATCTGCTAAATTCATCAGGCCCATCCCAGCCCTCTCTCCATGCCCAGCAGTGCCTGGCACTCTGGGGCCTCACCCCCACTCTGCAGCCGGACGCCCTCTGTCCTCGCTGCCCTTCAGGAGCCGTAATTCCTGCCTGGAGGAAGGGACCGGGCGGCCATTACAGCCCCTGGTGCTGCTGAGCCAGTGGGGGTTCGAACCGGCAGCCCTGCTTACGGGAAGGAGAAGAACAGGCTGCTCAGGCCCATGAGGGAGCTGAAGTGAAAGGAAGCGAAGAGGCTGGGCAGGACCCAGTGTGGCACCCCCCTGGCAGGGATCATGGTGGTGGCTGTGTGAGCACCCAGCACTGCCAGGGTTCTCCGAGCACCCCCGGAATCTCCCCCCCCCCCAGAATGTAGGCACCCCGTTCCCTCGGTTACACGCTGACCTCTCAGGGAGCTCCGCGGTGCTGCGGGACATCACAATGGCACACTGGGGCCTCATGAGAGGGGAGGGGGGTCTAGTGGTCAGAGCAGGGGGAGCTGGGAGCCAGGACTCCTGGGTTCTATCCCTGGCTGTGGGAGGGGAGTGGGGTCTAGTGTTTACAGCAGGAGGAGCTGAGAGTCAGGGTTCAACAGCCACCCATTCATTGTGTGCGCTTGGGCAGGGCTTGTCCCCACTCTGTGCCTCAGTTTCCCCCTCTGTAAGGTGGGATGGGGTGACAGGTCCCTCCCCAGGAGCACTGTGGGACTTACTGACTAGTGTGGGGCCTTTAGGAGAGACACACAAAGGCCCAGCGCTGCCGGCGGCTCTGTTTGAACAGCCTCCCAGCATTGCTGACAGCCCTAAGCAGGGCAGTACCGCAGCTTCCACAGGAGGGCGGCAGAGAGAAGGCCCCAGAGACCCCCACTGAGCCCATTTCTCCAGGAGAGGGGCTTGGGTGGGTGCCCTCGAAGGAGGCAGAAGGGGTGTTATTAGCCACCCTTCCCATGGGGAAACTGAGTCACAGAGCAAGGGAGTAACTTGCCCCAAGCCTCCCAGGAAATCAGCAGCAGAGCTGGGGAGAGGACCCAGGAGTCCTGGCTGCAAGTGCGACACACTGGAGTGCCTCCCCGGGCAGAACGCTGCTGCGTGACAGCACTGGGTTCCCTGCCCCCGTCCGGCTGGCATACAAACTCTGCCTAGTCCAAAGTTCACGGGTGCAGCATGCAGCCCCGAGAGTTTCCCCCCTGGCCAGCTTGGGGGGAGGGAGGGGTAAACCCAGCTGCTCTCTCCTTGCCTGCCCAGGGACCAGCGGGGTGGCACCGATCCCCGCTGTAACCCACCGCTTTAGCACCCCGCTGAGCCAACAGCAATCACGGCCCCACTGACAGCACCAGGCCTGGCTCCCAGGGGCCACGGCTAGGCTGGGGAGCAGAGGGCACCAGGATTCAGGCCTGACCGCGGTTCCTGACTCTACCCCCTCTCTGCAGGATCTGGCAGGGTAAGAGCTGCAATGCCCACCTGGTGAGGGAGGCTGCCTCGGGGCCACGACAGGCTGGCAGAACAGACCCTCAGTTGCCTCTCCTGCAGTGCCCGCTGTCAGCGCGGCGTGGGCAATGCTGTGCCAGGGTCACACGGGGCCTCCCAACCAGCCTAGACACAAGCAGGGGGCCAGAGCAGAGCCGCGAGCCCTGGGGTGAGCATCAGCCCCCACGCAGCGTGTGCATTAGGAGCCATCGAGTTCACTCTGTGCTCTCGACAAGGCCTGAGAGCCAGGGTCCCGGCCCCCCTAGGGACGAGGCGGCCACGGGGTTTGTACTGGTCGTTGCGGCAGGAACGTGCCTGCCCCGGGGGAGTTCAGACACTCTCTGCTGGGCTCTAGAGTCTGGCAACCCCCCAGAACCATCTGTCTCTTGTGGGTCAGACAGAAATAGCCAGTCTTCCAGCCAGAGCCCTGACAAAGTGTGGCTCAGACCTGACGGCAAGCTGGGACCGTTCGATCCTCTACTCCGACCTCCAGTCCAGCACAGGCCCTTAACTTTCCCCCAGGGACCCCTGGACTGAACCCTGTAACTTGTGTCTGGCTAATGCAGCAGGTCTGCACTGGAAGCCATCCAGGCGAACCCGCCGCTTCCCTGGGCAGGGTGTACCAATAGTTTGTCACCCTCACTCTTCAAACCATGGGCCCTAGCTCTGATTTCAGTGCGTCTGGCTTCCGCTCCCAGCCGGCGGCTCCTGTTCTACTGTTCTCTGCCCCATTAAAGAGCCCGCTAGGGCCAGGGACGTCCTCGCTGGGAGGGAACTGGCACCCGGTGATCCAATCGCCACTCGAGCCCCCTTTGGAGAATTGTAGAATCATAGAAGATCAGGGTTGGAAGAGACCTCGGGAGGTCATCTACTCCCACCCCCTGCTCAAAGCTCAAAGTCAAACACCTCAAGCTCTCGCAGTCTCTCTCATTCAAGGCATTTTCTCCAGCTCTCAAATCATTTGTTTGGCTCTTCTCTGCAGCAGTTTTTCAACAGCCTTTTTAAACAGTACTGGCTGCAGTATTCCCATACGAGCGCTGAGCGGGGGTGGATCCCCCCTGCGCCTACTCACTCCTCCCCTGCTTATACTCTGAGGCGCTCTTTCGCCCCGGTGTGACAGCATGGCTCTGGGAGGTCGTGTGTGTCCACTCTGACCCCTTGGAGTCACAGCTGGCCCGGAGGCTGGCCCCCAGTCTGGAAGTCTGGCCGCGTTCTTGGACCTAGATGTACGTCCCTGTGCGTGGCGGGCTTCAAATGCATTGTGTTGGAATGGGCCCAGCTTCCCAAGCGATCCCTCACCCTGCCCGACAGCTTTGTCCGCATCATTATCCCCCACTCCGCCATCTGTGTGTCCCCCGCACACTTTGCCAGCACTGGGTCTGTGTTTATCGACAAAAGTGTTGAACAGTAGCTGGCCTCACACCGATCCCTGCTACAGACACCCGCTAGAAAGCCCTATGCGCAATGAGGGTTCCCCGTCAGCAGCTCCTTTGAGATCGCTCAGTTAGCTAGCTCTTAATCCATTGCCCGTGTCCTCCGCTGATATTGCAGAGTGTTAATGTCCTGTGGTGCTGACTCAAACACCTCACAAAAGTCTAAGTCTCTTACATGCAGTGACCTTTAACTACCAAACTAGTGACCTCCCTGAAGAATACAATCAGGTTTGTCTGACAAGACCTATTTTCAATGAACCCATATAGACTGGCATGAACTGCACTCCTAGCTTTGATTCTTTATATTGATTAAACCCTGTATCAGCTTTTCCATTATTTCCCCTGGGACTGATTGATGTCAAGCTAAGTGTCGTGTATTGAAAACTGTGTTAAAATAGCAATTGCCACTTTAAATTCTCAGAGGTTTTCCTGGTCCTTCCAGGTTAGAGGGCTCTGTAGAGAAGTAGGTGATCAGTGCCTGTCTGCAGAATGACTGCCTAGAGAAAAGTGGGGGCAGATGTGCCTTTCTGTTTTAGGGAGCAGCCTGCTTTGTCTCTCTCTGGTTTTGGCTCTTGTGTCATTGTTCTGGATTTCAAGAACTAAAGTCATGTTATGTTGCAGCCTTCCAGCAAGAGGAGTTATGGTTTTATCTAGCTTCTCTCTGTGTGCCTTGAAACGTAACACTAACCAGCCTAGTTACCCTGGGCGTCCCACTTGCCCTTTCTGAATACTGGCAAAGCATGAGCGCTCTTTCAGTCTTCTGGAATTTCCCTAGCATGCCACAATTTATTCAAAATTAACATCAGTGGGCCAGAGCTCTCCTGAGACAGCTTTGTTAGGACTCTTCTGCGCAAGTTCCCTGGGGCAGCTGGTTTATCTCAGCCAGTAGATACCTGTCTCACACCTCCTTAGCGTCAGCCAAGCCCCAGAGAGGATAAAAGACGATCAGATCAGATCAGATCCCTTTCCTTTCCTTATTCTCCCCTTAGCTCCTTGCCGACAGACCCACCCTGCCTGCCCCTCACAGCCAGAGCTACCCTCCTGTACCACACCCCTTTTGTACTGTGTGGGAGGTGGGGGCCTCACTCAGGGCTGGCCCAACCCTGATTCCTGCACCTGTGCTCCATCCTTTAGGGATAAGGTTAACCCTTTCCCTGCCAGCTTCCACATGGGTTCTAATCACCCGGTGTCTAAACAGTCACATTTACACTGACCTGCTGGCCCTCCCCCTGCTACTGTGGAACAAAAGGAGCAAACACAGAGGGACAGGGAATTAGGTGGGTAGCAGAGGGAGGCAGTGAGGGCAGCACACAGGCCTAGGAGGCAGGTGGAATGGACAGTTCATCTCCTCTCCCCATTCATGGTCTGTCTTGTCTGTTTAGCTCTTTGGGGCAGGGCCTGTCTCTTGCTCTGTTCACGTGCAGCTCCCCGATCTCAGCTGGGGCCTCTGGCAGGGCGGTCTGCCCCTTTAAGGCCCTGCAGAGCCGGGGGGCAGCAAGCCCTGGCCTAAGGAGCAGCCAGCAGGTGCTGGGACCCAGCTGATCCATGAGCTCAGGATTGGCTCCGAATCCCAGCTGGGAAATATGAGTGAGACCCCGGGCCCAGGGGCAGGGGGGTTAAAATGAACT